ACTTGAATGACCTAAATTGTTTTTTTAAAGAAACGCAATTAATTTCTAATCCCAGAACTTAAACAGTCGATATCATTTTAATTATAACTTACATGCAAAAAAAGCTGCTATCAGAGTCATTATTGCCGAGGGAATTAACCAAGCGAGAAAACTCTTCTCTGACAACATAGTAGTGCAAATAACATGGTTCGCTTTTACACCCCAATGTTCTTCATTGCTCGTAATAAATATCTTCGCAATACTATATCCGAATCCATAAATCCATATGACTCCCGAAACATAACGCAAGCATTTTCTCTCTATCTCTGTATCATTTCTCATTAGAGCCCACCAAAGATAAAATGACAAAATAGCTGGAAATATTTGATATTGCGAGAAAAAAAATCCGGCGATTTTCTGCTGTATTATACATAACGGAGTCTCAAAAGCACGCTCTTTTAAGTCATTGCCATAAACTAGAACCGCTGGTAGGCTCGTGAGGTTCTGGATTAAGGAGGATATTGTTAATTGAAACAATGTCCATTTTCCAAAATATGATTTTGATTTTAAGATTATTATTAGAAGAGACGAGGTAAGAAAAACAGATATTAAAGTTAATAATATAAAGATAATGATTGGTGGAGAATACTCTGGCATTTTCAACGATTAATTTTCTTTTCTTTTAATAAATTAAAGAGAATATGTGTTAAAGGTTTGTTTTTGTTCTATGTGTACGGGAAGAAAAAGGGAATTACATGGAAAAATTAGAAAATGTTCTAAAAAGAATGACAGTTTATTTGTTTGTTAATTTTGTTTTGGAGCATAGGAACATAAAACTTTCTTTCAAGATGCTCTCTATTTATACCCGTACATCTCATTTAATTACTAATACTAATAGTTACGTACTTACTAAATTTGTTTGATCCGCGTTTATTTATTCTGTGCCTTATATTAAACAATTGTATTTAATATATAATATCGTTATTAAGTGTATTTGTTTTAGTATAGCATAAAACAATTACAATTTCTGCAGAATCAAATTAATTCATCAAGAGTCGAGTCGAGAATAAAATGTAGCAACATTCACAATCGTCCAATTTTTCAAACTGTAAAATATGAAAATGTTCATAGAATCTGCCAAATTTTCACATATAGGAGTTGGTTTACCGATAATTAAAATTCTTAATAAAGGAATTTCCAGGTTAAATTCGATTTAAAACTTTCATTTAATAATGTTAATTTCCATCTTTGTTTCAATAACCTAAAAAATCTTTACCGTAACATGCTAATATAGAATGAAACAGGAACATCGATCTCAAAAAAAAATGATGACGATAATATCAAGTAATTAATATAGGTACCTTGAAACAAAGACATTTAATAATTTAAATTTTTACCACGTGGAAATGTTTATTTTGTAGATATGCATGTATTTTTCTTTGCGCATTTATGTAATATATGAAAAAATAAAATCGATGAAACTTCGAATTTTTTCCATGATTGATCTTTGGCCTGTATTAAACAAATTTTATTGCTGCCATGTTTTCGTAGTTGAAACAAAAAGTTTTTTTTTAATGGCCGATAGTATAATAGCAAACAATAATAGCAAATAAATATCAACAAATACAAACAACAAATACTGTTATAGAGAATATCGATTAAAAATTGTGTGATACGCATCTTCATTCAAAAACGACAATGAACAAAGGCAAATGATTTAAAGTCCCCATTTTAAGTAAAAATAAATAAAATGATTACAAATTCTCGTATATGCACGAAAATAACCATATATGTATCTACTACGTACATGAAAATTTGAGCTCGTTGATTTTGTTGTCTGATATAATGGGAAGTTTCTAAACCTAGTCAAATTATTCATTTTTACCCAGAATTCTCATTTTGCATATTTACATTTTTTGACAACGCCTAAAACCTTTTACTTTGATTCGATAACGTTGACTGCAGGTTTTCATTGAACAATTTATCGTTGTCGATATGTATGCTTTTGAAAGAATCAAATTATGGTATTGCATTAATAAATGATACATATTTTTATGTGGTGTATATTTCCGATCTTCTATTGTTATATTGCATTCGTCAGAATATTGATACATGTTCATTGACGGAAGGATATAAAATTCTTCCAGGAAACCTGCTTATGAGCTTGATTTTTCTGCTCTTATAGCGAGAAGTTCTTGGCTTACAAATAATAATTTTTCAGAACAAGAGTATGTAAGTCTGTACTGTATGTAATATAATAAACAAATATAACTGCATTTATTTAATAACGATAATAGTCATGCCGGTATTATGAAAGTTATTGGGCTGAGTGCAATAGAAACGTTTCTATTATACTCAGCCCATCCATCTACAATCAAATGTTTCAGTATTTGGTCTTTTTTACTGAATAGTATTTGTAAGACCTCATCTGTAATTGAATCGCAATATCTACTCATACAAACGCGAGGATAAATTGGCTTCGTTGATGATTTCTTGATATAGCGTATCATTAGAATTAATTTTCTATTTCCCTTGTATATTGGTAATAAACATTGATTAATTTACTGATGATGTGATGATTTGAAATAGATGCAATATGTCCTTGGTGCTCGAAAGCATCACGGAAGCTTATGATTTAGTTTTTGAACACGTATTTACTATTATGGTAGCATTTAACCTCTTGCACGCACGCACTATCTTTTGCTGTCAATCAGTACTAGCTAAAAATTTTTATTGTAATAATTTTGTATGATGGTCGCTTGAAATTTTCTGCTATTAACATAATATCATTTGTGATAACTAAAAATGATTCTTAATCCATTAAATAAATGTCTTTTAAATCCAGTCACCTCAGAACAGATTATCTGAATAACTAATTAATAAAGTTGAGGTGGCTAGCATGATTGACCTACATAGCTCATTACTTACATTCACAAGATGTGATGAATTATCTTTTAACACGTGATACTAGTAATACATGTACATGCACAGTATCGATATTCCCATGCAAAACTAAAATATCACTTCATAAATGTAAATGTCAGCGCTCTATTATTCTGGGAGAATTATTAATATAGAAAAAACCAGGAATTACTTAATAATCTTTATCAGCAAAAGTTGCCACAAGGATTAAGGAGAAAGATGATGAACCGAGTTCAATAGGATCCATACTGTTTCAGCCCATATGTTCAATCAAATGATACCGAGCATAGACTGGGACTGTAATAGATACTGATAGTTTAGATGTTAAATTTGTTTTTTGATGTCTTATCATCTTTAGTGCATTTGTATAAAATGTGATTGCGAAGTTTCCCGATATCATACGAACAGGACATGAGCTCAGAAATTTTTTTACTGACTAATAATAAAACAATGTTTCTAGGAATTAATATAATCAGGGCTTGATTAACGACTAATGGATAATCAGAGAACATAAAATCGAGAGAATGCTGACAGTTATCGTAATTTAATTATGTGGATAGGATCGCTAATTCGCGATTTCTGCTAACTCACATAGCCGTTAAATCGAGCCCTGACTGTAAAATTTGGTAGTACCTTGTCCTATAAATATGAAAAAGCAGTAAATAAACTAAATAGATAAAGTTCAATTTTTATCATCTAAAAAAATTACTAAGTGTCTTGCAGATACAAAACAATCCTTCATCTGCACAATCTCAACGTTTTGGTCATTTAAAAAATGAACATTATATTTCGTTTTTTTAATGTCTCAATTAATTTAAAAAAAATCATTAGTCTTTTTAACTTCTAGAAAGGAATAGTAATATTTTACAAACATAAACCTCAAATATAAACAAAAATTTTACTGTACATATATTCCTTTTGTTTTGTGTTGCTTATATTAAATAATTCAAGCGATTTTCGCTAGCTCATAATTAAAATAATTTTCATCATCTGGAGAGGGTCTTAAAGTGTACATGCTGTCAGAAGTAATAGTAGGGTACAGCTCATTATTATAAGCTGAAAATGGTGATTCCGGTGGAGATTGATGATGTTCGGAGGTAAAGCTTAGAATAGGTGCCGGTCGTTCGATATTATCTGCTGCCATCGTGTACAAAAATGGTGAACTTATTGGTGATGGTGGCTGTGCGCTTGAGGATGGGAAGGTTAGGGTTTGTTTTGATGCAACTTTTGATAACGGTGGTGCGTAATAACAGCATGGGAGAAATACTGTTGCTGATTTTGCTGTTCCAAATATTAAGTATAAGACAATTCCTCTGATGATGTAATAAAAAAAGAATGAAAGTTTACCAAAAATCCACATATAAGATTTTTTTATTGTGTCAAAGCGAGCCGGTAACTAAAGCATATGTGATAAGCCAATCTCGATACGACTTTAGTATACAAACTTAGGGAAGTAGCACAACCACCTCTAACCCTCGCGAGCTGCTGTCTAACATAATAAACTCTAAAGCACGGAAATAAAAAAAACATGAAATATATTTACTGTACACTTCCGGAATAATCAGCGGGTGAGAGTTCATTCGGACAGAATTTAGATCGATCTAACATAATTGGCAATAAAGCTAACATTAAAATTCCAATGTAGACAAAGCCACACGTTACAAGTCTAGCTGCTTGTCCTAATTTTGTTGCGGTGATTCGAGTCTGCTTTCGTAAAAATCGTCGCCAATGAATAAATAATAAGACACACGAGTGAACTGAAAAAAATTTTAGTTAATACTCGTTATTTGAATTCAATACAGACTTTAAACCAAAGAAATTAAATGATTACATGCTAAGAGTCCGATAACGAAAGCCAATATGAGCAATGTGATCAAGAATATCATCCAATTATCATCAGTCGAAGACGATCGACAATACAATTTACTGACTTCTACATTCCAATTTTCATGCTTGCTATCCGAAATCAATTGTATGATTGACTGCACAATGGCCAATAGCCAAACAACAGCGGAAATATTTCGTCCATGGTTTTTCTCAATGTCCCCGTCATTTTGCACTAGTGCATACCATAAATAAAAAATCAAGACCGCGGGTAACACTTGAAATGGCATCATGAAAAACGATGCGACCTTTTGTTGTATTATACAAATAGGTGTTTGATAAGCATGCTGTTGTATTTCGGTACCATAGACGAGAAGTGCAGGTAAACCGGACGCTTGAACGAAGAATGTGCAAATGCAAATTTGTAATAGTGTCCATTTCGAAAAGTAGACTTTGGAGTTGAGAATTACAACAATTAAAATGATTAGAAGAGATAGATTCAATAATTGTAGCGAAATATATAGGAGTTGAAGACCTGTGTACGTCGGCATTGAAATGCGTGTATATAAGTGCGTGCGTGTGCAGTATTATATGTGAACTTTTTGTGAGTCGAAGATAATAAAGATTACTACTCTCTCTCTCTCTCTCTCTATATATACTCTATGTTCTCCTTCTATGTAGTGTTTAGGGAATGTATTACTTTATATCCTCCTTTTGTTGTCACGTAAGAAAGGGAAATTTATCTTTGTTGTCGATTTTGCTTTTTTTAATTCAACGATAACGACAACGATACTCGATCGCATAATCGTTATCGTTATTTTTGTCTGAAAAAGAAGAAATTTACACCGTGTAAAGGGAAGAACCTATTAATATTTATAAGTGACTGTTGTTAAAAAGAGCGTGCTGTACGCGTCATAATAAAGAGCGAAAAGAATGAATCTCAATAAGTCAGCTCTTTGCGTCTATTCACTATTTATATGAGTTTGTTGTCTAGTTTCACGACATATTGAACCCGAAAATTTCAGAATACAAAACTTTAATCTGGCACACTTTGATAAATTCCTTCTATCCGTAATAGGCGAATTTGTTGAATCACGCACCCATTGGTTGGTTGAGTAATCGGTATTAGTATTGTGATCATTTCCTGGTTTTTTTTATTGCTGGATATTTGGCAACAATTCGTAATAACAAGTTAGACAGCTTATTTAATGGGAAATACATTCGGACTGGTTTTGACAAGTTTTTTTATTAGAGGAAAGAATTAAAAATTCGAATCACAAAATTCACCAATCAAATTGTCTATGTTCTATATTCGTCGTGCATACCATTGACGTCTTTTACTCTTTCAATTAATTATTATAGATTCGTAATCGGAGAAACTACCAAATAGATTGCTTTGTGATACAACAGAGTCTAATTGATTATAACACGCAAATTGATTTTCAATTTTTTCATTCACTTATTTGATCATATACTATTTGATCATATATGGTTAGTCCGTGATTTTTGCCACACATCTAATAAAGATAATAGAATATAAACAAACAGATGATAATTCCTAAACAGTTACTCCGCGTTTTTTTGGGATTTACTTTGCACGACCTATCTAGTAAGAAAAAAAAACCACGAGTCGAAAAACCTGATTTCGCAATTATAATCTCATTAGATCGAAAGAAGATTAATCGATAAATCGTGGAAGAAAAGATCGAAAATGATTGAGCTTGCTGATTAATCTTGTCATTGGAAGCACAATCCCTTGGGGAAGTCCAATTGTAGTTAGGTATTAGGTAAGGGTTCCAGATTATTTATTTCTCATTGCATTGTCAGCCAACTGAGCACGCGTAATAATTGAAACGCTTGAAATCGGAAATCTTTAAGAACTCCGCTGCAAATACTTGATCGGATTTAAAACGCCATCTTGCATTTATGTTTTCGAGGATAGTGTGCGCGTACATCTATATAGTGAAGGTTTCACATATTGTACTGTGCTGCCTCTCAGTGAATCAATCAACTCATTTATACATTCACTGTTGGTGAGTCATCTTTATATTAGATAACTTAAGGATCACAAGAATATATTAAGTGGAGCCCTCGCTCAAAAAAAATCTGCTTATCCCATGTAAGAAATGACTAGTTTATCGTTCTTTTGGGGACGATTACGTAATAAATATGTAATGTGTAATGTTTGAATCTGGCAAAAATTTTTATTGATGAGAAAATGAGTTTCGGGATCAATTAGATAATTATCATTTAACTGATCCCACAATGCATAACTAGGTACATGTACATGTACAAGTAATACTCTATGAAAAACAGCTTTTTCGTCATGATAACGTTTGATATGTCAACGTTAAGTGAGAAGATCACAATTTGTTATGCATATATGCTGTTGAACACCTTACCTATGTGTTATACAGCACAGTAAGTATATATTATAAGAAAATGGTGTTAACGACAATATCTACGTGTACATTATTATTATAAACTTAATTACCGATAAGGATCACATATATTTTGAAACACTTATTGTTATGTTTCACGACTGCAAAATTAACAAAACATACCCTAGTCATAATAGTCTGAGTCTGACAACAACACAACTTGTCATCCATGTGAAAATCCTTTCCAGATTAATTGTCACTTCCAAAGAACTCTACCGTTAGAATAAGACATGACCGGATGTTAAATTCTTGCACATAAACTTCTCAATGATGTAATTTTAATAGAAAGTTTGACTGTAAACACCGAATGACATTCAAATTGATTTATTCGCCGATAATCTTTCATTATTTAACACAATCACAACATTCACGCTTTTATTTATGGTCGCGCAACCTGCAAGTATAAATTCATCACGACTTTTTCGTAACAGTAACTTAAACAATCATACAGATTACGTTTAGTTTATGTTGTATTTCGATCAATTTATTTTTGTTCACCCGGTTTAAATGAAAAATTAGAGCTGGAACGTGCGCAAACTTTAAAAATAACAGATTTACATACTACATTAACTTTATAGAAGAATCTACGTTGGATAAAACCGTTAATAATGTGTAGATTTTACTCGTTACCATACAGTATCTATTTTACCATCTACTCTGAGCATTCATTCATTCAATATTTTCCCAAATCGACCTAATTTATTTTGAGTTAAGGAATCAAGGCTGTTACTTGAGACGCAATTGGGTCCTTATGTAGAGGATAAGACAGAATATACCTCAAAAGTGCTATACATATATATATTATACCTGTGTAAAAGAAGAAAAATTAATCTTTTTTTGCAAGAAAATTTTATAGTAAAGATAAAGGAATTCTTGAATGAGTTACTGTAAATTTTTACTATGAAACTGTGAAATCTTTAAACCCAAATAAAGTCACAGCGAAATTCAATCACTGCGAGCTTTCTGACCTTTTGAAGAAACGTTGAGACGGTGTATAACTATTAGAGAAAGAATTGTACCTAATGCAAGTAACTTTCTTTATATTAAAGCCATTGGGCTGGAAAAAAAATTCTTCACTATAGCTTATGTCGAGCGATTACCATATATACTTCATAATATTGAACTGAAGTCTAATAATACTGTAATTTAAAATTCTTCACTATATTAAATCTTCACTATATCGAGAGTTCATTATAAGGAGAGTGACATGTATTTGGAATTGTAATCATTGTTAGACAGAATTCTATTTGATTTTTGTGGATTGACTCGGCATTCTTTCCGAATTCTATGTTTCTCAATCTATTCTTAGTTAGATGAATAAAAACTATAAAATACTGGTTACTTGTTTAGCGAAAATTATTTACCAACCGAGCTTATTTTCATTTATTGGAAAGTGGAAAGATAAAGATCATACAGAAGTGAATATTCCGTGAGCAGCAAGCGAAAAATAAGATTAATCAACACAATGTTAACATGGGAGATAATACCTAAACTAATGTTTGTCGAAGTTATTGTGTTTTAAAATTTTTCATGCTATAAACAAGCAAGTGAATGATCTGTTTGTTATTATAACTATACAGTGGTATGCAAAAAAAATTGATTATAAACAATTAAATAATTATTCAAATAATATAGATATTTGTACATATATTCTTTAATATCTAAATATCTAGAGAACAAGTTTACTTAGGATCATATAATAAAAATCTTAGTGTAATCTTTTATAATTTACATTTTATATTCAAAAATTAGCTTGCAAAATTAATTATAAAAATTTACATATGTGTTTATAGAAAAATATAAATGCACTGCCACAAAAAATAATTTAAATTATACTTTATTATGCAATGACAAAGCATCGAATTTTTATAAAAATTTAATATAACTTCTATGTAATATAATAAACAAATTTAATTATATGATAATTTATAAAAATTATTTTTAATTAATTTTTATAATTGATTTTGCAAATTAATTTTTTGAATATAAAATGCAAATTTATGAAATATTTTATTAAGATTTTTTATTTTGTGGTCTTAAGTAAATTTGTTCTCTAGATATTAAAGAATATATATGTATAAATGCTCATATTATTTGAATAATTATTTAATTATTTGTAATTAAAAAATTAACTTCCATCCTTTTTGCACATCACTGTAACTCGTTACATTGCTATAATAATTAATTTGATTTCATTAATTCTAAATTCTGCTAAATTTTTTATATTTATTTTCTATATGTCTTAAAAAATAAATTTTTTCTATTAAATTTCTACAGGAAGGACTTTATGTAACATACATTCGGCCGAAGAAAGGCATTTTATTATTAACGGACATCATGCCCGATACATAATTGGTTCATTTTTTGATTTAAGTTCTGTATCAATGCTGATCTCAATAGCAAAAAATTATCCGATGTTTGAGTAACGATAAGTTTATTAACAACACTACGGCGCTAAAGTTTTCTTATAATTAATAGTTTTTACAATAATGCTCATAAATGTGTGCGGGGAATAAATTAAGGTGACTTATAAAACGCACAGCAATCTGCAATCTCTACCGCTACGGAGTGATTCCGTTTGGTTGCACAGGGATTTGTCATAATCGTCGTGCATTTCAAATTTTTTCCGAGCATGCTTTTCATAATACATGTACGTTTCAGCTTATAAGGCTACCTTTATACAAGTATCGGTATTTTCTTTTTCCTTAATACCATTTCGTAATCTCAAAATTCAATGATTCGTAAATCTAATTTATTTATAGAACACAGCACTCGTATTGAAAATTTATGATTTGACGTAATAATTAGATTTCTCTAAATATAAAAACAAGCCTATATTTTATTGATTTAAAGCTATTCCGAATTATTTAATTGTTACCTTTTTGTAAATCTTCTTTCTTTCACTAACTTTATCGGCAATGAGTTTTAACCGAAAGATTATTTTTCCGCACACTTTTCAATCAGCGCCCATTCGATTAGTAAAAAATTTATAAGAGGTTCGACTATTGTTTAGCTCCTTATTTAACTGTCGAATTCCAAGATAGAATTTTAAAAAGAACCAATTAATAATATGAATAGCTAACAGTAATGTATGCAAAATGACTAATATAGCACAAATAAAATTTATATTAATGTCTCTCCTAATTTTTAAAGAACCATTTTATCTTTCTTAATACATGTAGTATATAATGAATATTAAGAACTGATGTGTTTGTTCGCTCAAGCATTGAAATATCTATAATAAATCCATTTATTTTAAAATATTATATTTGATAAATCTATTTTTGATAAAATATGAACCATATTCGTGAAATTTGCACACTTAGTTAGAATTTTCCAAGTGCATACGTGATTCCCAAATGCATGCAATACAGTATTTACGTATTCGCATACATTTAGATACCGATACAGTTTCAACTTTTGTTTCTATATTTGGCGGATCTTTTTAGCTTTTTTTATGCAGTATATATAAATTAAAAAAAAATCGATAAGTCAATATGGGCTGAGTTCAATAAGACTAATCAAGGAAATCATTAATATAATATGTTTCAATTCATTATTATTCTTTTAGAGAATGATATTCATTCAGAATAATAACTATATTACTACCAGATATTATTATAATATCACTAAGATCCCTTGAAGAAATTTATAATAAATACAGAACAAATTTGATTTAATGAATTTGTTAGCGTTAGATTTGAGCTGGAACTGCAACTATATTAAATAATTTCTTTAGTAGGCTCTCACCAATTGAATTAAAATAAACTACCATGTGAATAGACGGCGGCTGATATTTAAGATTATAGTTTGCTAAATAATATACAAGTTTTATTGTATAAGATACCGTGCGAATAACCGAAAACCGAACGTAGTGCTATCAATTTTACAATCTTGAACTATTCCATAATACTATTAGTAATGCAAGTATTAATAATAATTTCGACTTATAGCAATTATTAAGAAGGAAAACAAATTCTTATATTCTGTGTAATTGTTTCGAGAAGCAGCATTTAATAGATTGCAGATTATATCTTCAAGTCCTTTTAATATCATTGTCAAATTTTTCTTGGTAGAAAATGATGTAACGTGTATTGTTGATAATCAATTTATATATGTTTTAAAAGGCAAATTTTTACTTGAATATGAAATTTTGGTTTTATACACTGAGAAAAGATATATTTTTTTAAGAGTCAGAATTTATTTACGCTATCATCTTTCGTTATGTCGACCCATACACAGCCGAATGTAACTGTATATAAAATCTACAAGAAAATACATTGACGTAGTTGCAGAATTTAAAAATCAAAATCACATGTTACTGGAAAATTTTACCATTGTTCTCTGACTAGACCAAATAAAGATACTATATCCGATCATAAAATTACGTTACGTAACAATTTGCGAATATTTCAACGCACATGTACATGCATGTACATTTTTATGCAAGATTCAATGTTATCATTATTAGACGTCGCGAACAAATAAACGCGTTTGCCGGCCTATCCGTATGTCTCCCTGTCTCGAGGCAAAGCAAAACTTTGTAGGAGAAAGTTATTGCTTATGTATTATATATGCTTTTCGTTGTTCTTCACAGATCGTCACGCGCCAACATAATGAGGTAATTTTCATTGGGTACAAAATTTCTACTTGACAAACCTTAAAAATAATAGCAAATATATAAATGCGGGTTGAATGTATTATTAATAACTATTTGTCTAAACAGAAATACATCTTTTTTCTTTTAACTTTAAATATACTTCACTGTCGTTAATTTTATGGGAAACCTTCTTTTTAAATCACAGAAAATTTCAAAACATACGTTCAAACCATTCCAACCAGATGATGAAGTCCAAATAGACAGAATACAAATAGCCCATCATTTATACCGGGTGATTTGGGACGGAAATTTTAGTTCTCCAGTAAAAGCGAGATTATCAAAAGGAGGCGCTAAAGTGTTAGATATAGGGTAAGCTCGCGTTAGCTCTCTCTCTCTCAATTATATATAGCTCGCGTAAATTCTCTTTCGCAATTATATACAGCTAATCAAAGATTCATCTTGTTTAAGGTGCGGACCAGGTACATGGATATGTGACATGGCAACGGATTTTCCAAAATCGTCATTTATAGGTGTAGATTATGTACCAACTTTTCCTACCGAAAAACCAACAAACGTTCAATTTATTGTCGGTGATATACTAGAAGGATTAGATTTCGGGGAAGAAGAATTCGATTTTATTAATATGCGACAGATGGCATTATGGTTTTCGGAGGAACAATACAAGAAACAAGTGATCCCTGAATTGACGCGGTTACTTAAAGTTGGCGGATGGTTAGAAATATCAGAATCAGAATTTCAAGCACATTTGATAGGTCCCAAATTCAAAGAATATCGTACGCAATGTGTGTATTTTTTTATAATTCACATTTCAGTAAATTTAATCAATTAAATTAATTAATAAACTACATTTTTTAATAGTTGTTAGTCAAATGGCAAAATATAACCGAAACCCAGATGTTCTCTACGAACTTGAGGCATGCTTAGGTCAATTTAGCAACATATCGCGGGATAAACGAAAAATTCCGGTCGGTTCAAATGACAAAATAATCGGACAGTATTGTGCAATGTTATGTGTTCCGCTAATGTTGGAAATTTTGTCAGAACATGTGTTAAAATTGTCGCATAAAAAGTGCGAGAAAATGGTTAAAGAGGTTATAGATGAGGCCAACAAATATAATTCGTATTACTATGTTCATAGAATATTTGCACAAAAAATAATTTAACATGTACATGTACATTTACCTTGCATAACGATAGGAGTCATCTGATTTATACATGTAGTTATATATGACATCATCAAATCAAAAAAGGCAAAATCACAAAGTACAAATGGCGTGTGTTAGCGTGTGTTGTTTATGCTGCGTCTCCATCATTTTTCACACGTTAACCTGCTAAGAAATTCATTCCCCGCAAAAATAAAAAAAATGGCTCTCGACTTGGCAAATTCGCATACTCAAAATCTTCTTCAACTCTATGAAACCTCAAACTTTTACGATGTGTCAATTATCGTGGGTGAATCTTCTGATGCGACACAAATGTTTTCCGCTCATGTAGCGATATTGGTGGCACAGTCACCGTATTTCGCGAAAATTCTTGAGGATGTGTGGGCGAAACGAGAGAATGGACGAGTGATTTACTTGGATAAACCGAAAATTGCTCCTAGAATTTTTGAGATTATATTGAGGTTAAATTTAATTATTACCCTCTAAAAAATATAGTGTTGTCTATTTCGTGTGTGTGGATGAAGAAATTCATTTTATTGGCTCTTTATTTGAAGATTTATGTATACCGGTAAAGTTGACTTGAAAGATTATGGAGTGCTAACAATCCTGGATCTTTTGATTGCTACGGATGACTTATTGCTCAAAGACTTTGTGAAATACATTCAACTCTATCTTCAAGACACGCATGCTGATGCATTGCTTGCTAATTTTTCTCTTGTTAACGAAATAGCATTTCAACGTGACTCGTTAAAAATCCTACAAGAATTCTGCATCGATGTCGGGTGCAAAAGCCCATTGACATTTTTCAATTCAAATGATTTCATCAATCTCAAAGAATCAGCGTTACTTATTCTACTCAAACGTGACGACTTGAATATCGAAGAAATTTTCATATGGGATAAAGTAATTGAATGGGGACTCGCACAAATCACTAAAAGGTTAAATCAAGCGAGTAATCACCATCATTTGTTGCAGCAGCAGCAGACAACAGCCACAGGACTGTCGAAAAATGATGAATTGAAAGCGTTGAAAATAGTTTTAAATTCTTGCTTGCCGTTGATTCGCTTCTTTCATATAAATTCCGTCGACTTTTACAATAAAGTAATGCCATATGCTGAAATTCTTCCAGGAACACTCCACCAAGATTTGCTACATCATTACCTGGTACCCGGGAGTGAGGAAGCACGAGTAAACGAATTTCCCGTTAGAAATTCCTCATGTTCAATAGATTCTACAATTTTAGCCGGAAAACAAGCAGCAAAAATAGTGAATTGGATAAAAGACCAAGACCCGAATCAAAGAAAACACAAAAACATTGAACTAAACTTATTATTGAGAGGAACACGTGATGGCTTTAAGAACACGGATTTTCACCAGTTGTGTGATGACAAAGGTCCCACCATTGTCACAGTTCGTATTAAAAATACTGAGAAAATTATCGGCGGATATAACCCGCAGAATTGGCACTCGCTTAATAAAAATCATTCGGGGCTGACAAGTTTCTTGTACAAGTTTGATGCTGACGATAAAGAAGGAAATAATGGACTGTTGAGTTCTTATCGAAGAGGGCCTAGTATAAAGTGTCATAAAGCGCATGGACCGATTTTCGGCGATGGAAATGATTTGTCCTTTAATGGACCAGATTTTCTCGTTGATGCTTCCACCTATTGTAGGAAATCTAATTGTTACGATAAAGGTTTGCTGGGAATGCAGGATGTTGAAGTGCCATTTACTATTGAGGAATATGAAGTGTTTCAAGTCGTTGGAAACGATAATTTTCCAAGGTAATTTGATCTTAGTTTCCTTCTTATTACGTATAAAACATATCCTAATTTGTTTGTTTTTGGCAGACTGTATAAATGATTGATTGTAGTCGTTGATCCACCTTATTATTCAATTAACTTCCATTTGCGTGTATACAAGCTGACTTTTGTTTTATCGTTATTGTTGTGATAAAAGAGAGAACTCATCATATATAAATATATTGATACGGATGTACATCTAAAAGTTGACAAATTAGTTCAACGATTTGTAGTTCTTTGCACACCATGGCTCACGTAATTAAGAATCACCAATCACAAAATATCCTTTGTGTATCCCCATTTGGTTTAGGGTTGACGAGCACCTATTAAAATTCACTTCGTCAAATGTAACATGCAAACAAAAAAATCCGCGCACGTGAAAATTATATGAACATGTGGTAATATTTATATGTATCTTAATGCTTAGATCTCTTATAATTTGGTATTGTGATTATACATGTACATGTACATGCACATATTTTAATGTTTATAATTTATAAACTTGCATCAATTCGAAAAAACAAGATTTAACTATATTTAAAATCATACTAGTTAATAAATCTTAATTTTGAGTGAATTCAAGTTTTTTTTCAATATATTAATAAAAAACGTATTTCAAAACTTTATTTTTAATTTCTATTAATTAAAAAAATAATATACATATTTTAAGTACCATATAATTGCACATATTTAATAAAATAATTAATTAAATAAATTTCAATTAAATAAGTAACATTTTACCTAAATTTGATTTTATATTATTATTATAAATTCATATATAAATATCATACAGTGGGAATCTAAAATAATGCAAGACTTGAGTTTTTTTATTACATGAGATTATATTAATAAAAACTCAAGCATTGTATTCTTTTAATTTATTAGAAATCAAATTTATTAATAAAATAAAATTAAATATATAATACATTAAATTTTAATATTACTTTTAATTTTATAATAAAATTTTTGTTGTTCTTAAATTTTTTTAATAAATTTTTAGTATTTAAAATATTATTGAATTATTTTTTGCTTAAATTGTTTTTTATTATTTTAAAATTATATTATACTTAAACTTGAATTAACTTTTCTTAATTTTAAATTTTAAAGCTAAATTTTATTATATTTCTTGCTTTATTAATATAATAATAGCCAAAAATAATATATTAAGAATTAATTTTATTTATAAAATTAAAAAATTTTATATTAAATTTTATTAAAAAATAATTTTTATTTTTTAAATTAAAATAAAATTTATAAGTTATAATTTTATATATATTTTTTTAATTTTTTTAAAAGAATTATTCTATTATAATAATTTTATAATTAAAATAACTCTCTCAGAAAAATTTAAAAAAATTTAAAAAAATATATATTAAATTATAACTTATAAATTTTATTTTAAAAAAGAAAAATTTAATTTTTATTATATTTTATTAACTACTTTTTTAATCAAAAATGAAGCAAACTTTACTTTTATCTTTTTAGAAAAATTATCTTGTTTCTTAAGAAATTCAGAAATCATTAACTTTAATATTTTCTTAGCTTTTTCTATTATCAACTTTGATAGAGCTCAGATTCCTATATGCTTTTCTCACAAAATTAGGTCAGGTTTAATATTCTTAGATTAATATAATTAATTTATTAATATATTATTTTTAATTATTATTATAAATATAATTATTTTAGTAATATAATCAAATTATTTTATAATTATTATATTTAAAAAAGCAAAATTAAAGTACTATAAAGAGATATAACTATAGAGATTTTTTTAATTATAATTAATTAATAACTGAAAAATTCTAAAAAGATAATTATAAAAAGATAAATATAAAGAAATATAATTATAAAAAGATTTAATTATATATATATTACTTTTAATTTTTTACTAATTTATAATAACTTTATATTAAAATAATACTTTTAAAATATATATATATAATAGTGATCAAAAGTAATAACTTAGAAGCTAAATTTATTAATAAAATATAGTAAAAATTAAAATTTTCTCTCTATATTCAAATTTATAATTTTATTAAGAAATAATTTTTATTTTTATATTAAAATAAAGTTTATTAGTTGTAGTTTAATATATATTTTTTTCAGATTTT